TCCTTACGAACCTGAGTTAGTTCACACAGCATAAAGCTATAGCCCAGATCAGGCGCACCTTAGTCTTCAGCCTGATGTCTTTGCTCTTCAGTACTCTTGAGAGGTCCCTCGCAGCTGACTTTCCCAATGCAGTTTGTCTCTTGATTTCCTGGCTGCTGTTACCAAGAGTGTTGACTGTGGAGCCAAGTAAACTAAATCTGTTAACTATCTCAATCTCTTCACCATCCATACTGATGCTGTATATGGTTAGGAAAATAATACTTTTTTTTAGTACTGAGAAACAGAAATAGAACATTCATTAATACAGAATCAGAGATTACTTTCTTCATGTCCTGTTTAATATTGTGATTATTTTTTTAAAATGTTGTGATTTTTAAGATTTATGTATTAATCATATTTTGACTGATGCCTTCACAGTGAAAATGAAATTTGCTTTGACACATCTATTCTCAGAGTGTAAAATGCTTCTTAGCTCCAGTTTCTGTTTCCCAAAATGTGTTTGCCTACACACTTTAAATGTTTTAAAGAGAAATAATTTTTGTTGTAATATACAACAAGAAAAAAAATTTTTCTATCTAGAGACTAAAGTGAAGAAAGATTTTAAAGCCACTAAGCTTACTGGTTGCTTAAGGTACCAGAGGGTGGGGGTTGGGTGTGTCCTAGCAGTGCTGCAATTTAAAATCCAAATTCTTGAACTTTTGAGCCTTTTTACCACCCAGTTTCCTTAACTACCTTTAAATCCCTTGTTTTTTATCTTTGTTGTTGTTGTTGTTATGTGCCATCGAGTCGTTTGCGACTCATAACGACCCTATGTACAACAGCCCTAAACCCTGCTCTGTCCTGTGCCAATCTCAATTAAAGAAACTTGTCTCTGCATTTGCCCAGGCTATGTCATATAAATGGAATCATACAATATTTTTTCTGACTTAATATAATTTTTTTCAATATTCCTTTGTATCCTAGTAGCAGAAATTTATTTCTCTTTATGGTTGGGTAGTGTTCCACTGTGTGTATATGCCACATTTTCTATTTCTGTTCATCTTTTGATGGGATACTTGTTTCCAACCCTTGACTGCTGCACTGAACTGAGTCTATGATGCCAAGGGTTTTGTTTATATGCCTAGAGTGTAATTGCTGGATCATATGGTCATGTTGCTAGGAAAGGCTATTCCTTGAATAGGGCCATCGTGCTTGGAAAGGTGGAGGGTCAGTGAAAGAGAGGAAGAATATCAAGATGGATTGACTACAATGACTACAGCAGTGGACTCAAGTATGTCAGAGATGATAAGGGTGACACAGGATAGGACAGAGTTCAGATCTGCTGTTCATAAAATTGCTACAAGTTGTATTCAACTCAGTGGCACCTAACTACATGATGATTCTGTGTTTAACTTGAGCAGCTGTCTTCGAGAGTGTTCATACCTTTGTAATTTCCCACACTAGTGAATGAGGGTTTCAGTTTCTCCACACTCATGCTACTTTGATTATTCCTCCTCTCCCCCATAATAATCAGCTGGTTAAAGGTGAAATGCTAGTTCATTGTGATTTTTTTTAACACTCAACGACATTTACTGCAGAGCAACATGTAACTGCAATTATTGGTCATTGCAATTTTTTCATTTTTCTGATTGATAATGACTGTCTTATTCATGTGTTTATTGGCCATTTGGTGAAATAACTATTCAAGATCTTTTCCCTTTTTTTTCTTTCTTTTCCCAATTTTTAAACTGCTGCAGTGGGCTGTTGTATGTCAGAAAGTGTGAAGATTGCGCAGGACAGGACTGGGTTCAGATCTTTTGTTCATAGGATCACTGAGTCGTACTTGACAGCACATAACAGCAACAACTGGATTGTTTGCCCTTTTGTTGTTATAAGAAATTTTGCATAGTTTAATATATTATACCCAGATATGGATCTCAAATATTTTCTTTCAATCTGTTTTATTGATAAAAGTCCTTTGATGCACACTGGTTAATTATTCAAATGACTGTATTTGTTCTTTATTTTAAAATATTAGCAAATATTGTAAGATACACCATCTAAATCATTTATGATCTTTTAACAAGCAGTTTACTACAAATATTTTCAACCTTCACTTTTGGGTCAGTTTTTCAGCAGAAATCATAAAGATTCAGCTTTATTATTTTTTCTTCCCCTCATTTTCTTTACTATTATTAATTTTAATGAAAGTTTACAGAGACTTTGAATTTCCATTCATTCATTGCAGCACTTTTCTCCCTGCTCACCCCTCCCCCCAGGTCACTCTTCTCTTTGAAAAGTAAAAAAAAAATTCTTCATTGTAATCCATTCCTTTCCCCCAAGTCCACTCCACTATGCAGCCTTTGTTCTGACAATATCTAATTATATATATCCCTTTTAAACAGTTCTCTCCCTCATCTGTTTCAGTGCAGTATACAAAATTTATCCCATCTTTCTCAGTCTCCTTCCAACTCTCATGTCAGTTCCATTTTACAAGAGTGGCACTATGCAGTATTTGTCCTTTTGTGACTGAGATATTTCATTCAACATAATGTCCTCCAGGGTTATCCATTTTGAGTAATATTTCATGAGTTCCTTGTTTTTCAATGCAGCTTAGTATTCTGTTGTATGAGTATACCACAGCTTCTCTGTCCATTTGTTTGCTGATGGGCACTAGGTTGTTTCCAACTCTTTGCTATTGTGAACAAAGCTGCAATAAATATGGGTGTGCATATATCTGCTTGGGTGGCAGTTATGGTTTCTTTGGGGTATATTCCCAGTAGTGGAATTGTTGGGTCATATGGTATTTTTATTTCCAACTTTTTGATTAAATGCCATACAGCCTTCCATAGTGGTTGCACCATTTTACACTCCCACCAACAGTGAATAAGGGCTCCAGCTTCTCCACAACCTTGCCTGCATTTGTTATTTGCTGTTCTATTAAATTTTGCTGTTCTTACTGGGATACGAGACTATCTTTATAGTTGTTGTAAGGATTTTGAATATTTCTTCATGTGTTTATTTGCCATCTGAATGTCTTTGGTGAAGAGTATGTTCATATCCTGTGCCCATTTTTCAGTTGGGTTATTTACCTTTGTCTTGTTGTGGTATGTTATCTTATGTTGACAAAGTACTCCATTGCATACTTGATTTGTCTATTCTATATTTTCTCAAATATTTCTGTATTGTAAACACTGCTGGGCTAATCACCTGCACAGAGGATTTTATTTTTAAATATTTTTGGGTTTTTAGAGAAATTTTAGATTTATAGAAAAATGGTATATAAAGTACAAAGAATTCTCTTTTATTCCCCCCTCAGTATATTGCTTCTTTTATTAACATCTTGCATAACTGTAGTTTATGTGTTATAATTGATGAACGAGTATTGATAACAGTATTGTTAATTAAAGCCTGTTGCTCATGTTAGTGCACATTTTTATTCCTGTATGGACTTGGCAGCTGCATAGTATTGCATCTTCACCAGTATCATATAGTAGTATACACAATACTTGACTGCTTTCAGAGTGCCCTTTGTTCTCCCTATTTACCCTGCACTTCCACTGAAAATCATGATCTTTTCCCTGTGTTTATAAAGTTGCTTTTTCCATAATACCATGTAGTTGGAATTGACAATCGTAGCTTTTCCAAACTGACTTCTTTCATTCAGAATTGTGCATTTAAGGTTTCTCCATGTCTTTTCATGGCTTCATAGCTTACTTCTTGTTATCACTGAATAATGTTCTATTATTAGTAGAGAATTCTGGTGGATTACTGTGTAAGGAGTTGTGCTGCTCAAAGGCAGACGATTTGAATCTACCAGCTGTTCTGCAGGAGAACGTTGAGCAGTCTCCTCCCATGCAGTTATAGCCTCTGAAAACCCACTGAAGGGTTAGCTGTGAGTTGGTTCCAACTCAGCAGCAATTGAGTTCTTGTTTGCTTTTTGGGATTGCAGTTTCTTGCCACTAGGCCACCAGAACTCCTTTTATTGTTTGATTTTTATATAAATCAAGTTTTTAAAATCCATTCACCTGTTGAAGAGCCATCTTGATTACTGCCAGTTTGGAACAATTATAACCAGAGCAGCTATGTAATTGTGTATAGATTTCTATATGATTTTTAATTGCCTCTCATGTGAGTAAATACCTAGGTATACAATTGCTGGATTGAATATGCATTTATGTATTTTCACAGGGAAATATGAAGCTAGGGAGGGGAAAAACAAGACCCTAGAAGTCAGGCATGGCCATGAGTGCATGGTATAGTAGCATGTGGTTCAGCCTGGCCACAGCATAAACTAAGTCTCAAGAAGACTGTCCTAGAAAAATACTTTGTGGCCTGTTTGAAGGACCACACAAAAGACTGAGGCTTTAACTGAATACAGAGGAAACTTGAGGGCTTTTTGAATATACCCAGAAGATCACTTTTAGTGGTCAATGTTAGGCTCTTCATATATAGTATGTAATTGAATCCTCTCAAAGTTTTATGAGCTGACCATTTTAAACATGAAGAAATTGAAGTGAAGTACAAAAAGGGGAAGTGATTTGCTCAGAATTACACAGCTGGTACTAGAATTTGGGTCTGACCTTTTAAAAGTCCATGATTCAGACACTTTTCAATTTGAAAACCTTATACAAGCCCTTTTAGGAAACACTTCACTTTAAGTTCTCACTTTGGTTGAACTCTAAATTAAATCACCCATGTTGGTCACCAGTTTCTTTTCCAAATGACTTTGATCTTGATTCCAAATGGAGATGATTGATGTTTAGACTTCACAGGCCAATTGAGGCAACTGCCTGCTGCTTTTCCCTCATTCCCAGCTCCAGAGGGGCCTCTCAGTTGTGTAGCTTGAATGCCTGGCAGCTTTTTTGTATGAGTGAGAAGTATATAAGTATTTCCTACAAGTAACTTTGGCTTGTGTCAGTTTTCAAAGGTGGGATTCTGGAAGGGGTGTCTTGCTGGCTTCATATTTTATCCTGTAGTTAAAACTGTTGTACCTTTTCTCCCCTTCTCCCTCATGACAGACGGAAGGAGTTACAAAGCGCTTAGCAGAAAAGAATGAATTTGTCATCTTCCTGTTTACACTTATGACAAGTAAGAAGACATTCTTACAAACAGCAACCCTCATTGAAGATATTCTGGGTGTTAAAAAGGTGAGCTGTGCTCTGAGGTAGGAGGTGGGTGTCTTGATGGAGGGATGAAAAGTCTCAGACATTTGAATTCAGAAACTTGAATTATACTTAGGGCCCACTTAAAAAGTCCTCTATATTCCTTGTTACTTTCATAGTGCTTAAGTATATTCAGATAGAAGAGTAGATTCTATTCCTTATACTGATGGGTTTTATATAACTGATAGAGAAATAGGAATAAAACCAATTACAAAAAGCTAGAGTTCAGGTTGACTTTATGAATTGAATGTGATAGCTAGTGGTTTTGGCTGAAATCAGATCCTGTTTTCTCCTCCCCATTCCTGTGGCATAGAGCTCTGTCCATATCTATTATTCAGTTTGTATACTGAGCAAATTATCTGAGAAGCTGGATGCTGTGAAGAGGAGTGTGGCATCAGGATTGGAGGGAGACTAATCAATAACCTGCTTTATGCAGATGACACAACTTTGCTTGCTGAAATTGAGGCACACTTGAAGCACTTGTTGCAGAAGATGAATACAGCCTTTAGTATGAATTGCATTTCAGTGTCAAGAAAACAAAGATTCTTACCACTGGACTGATAGACAATATCATGATGGATGGAGAGGATATTGAAACTTGTCAGCAGTTTCATCTTGATTGGATCCATAATTAATACCCTTGGTACTAGTCAGGAAATAAGGAGACACATTCCACTGGGAAAATCTGCAGTTAGGGACATCTCCAAATTATTGAGGAATAATGATGTCAGTTTGAGACCTAAGGTGTGTCTGATTCAGGACTTTGTCTTTCTGATCACTTGCTAGCATCTGAGAGATGGGCAGTAAATAAGAATGACAGAAGAATTAATACTTTTGAGCTGTGGTGTTGGAGAAGAGCACTGAATATCCCATGGAGGCCAAAAGAATAGATAAATCTTGGGGTGCAGCTGGAGTGCTCTTTGGAGGCAAGAATGATGAGGTTTCGCCTGACATACTTTGGGCATATTGCAGGGATGAGCTATTCCTTGGAGAGGGACATGGTCCTGGGAAGGGTGGAGAGTCGGCAAAGGAGAGGAAGACCCTCAACCAGGTGGATTGATATGGTGACTGCTGCAGTGGGATCTCATCTGTCAGAAAGTGTGAGGATGGCACAGGATAGAACAAAGTTCACATCTGTTGTTCATAGGGTCACTGTGAGTCGTACTCGACTTAACAATGCCTAACAACAACAACCAGAAAGCCGCACAAATCTGTTTTCTACTCTGAGGAAGAAAGATGCAACCATATTTTCCCTTAAAGATTTACAACCTCACAAGTCTGCCATTGTGTGGCCATGAGTTGACTGACTTGGGTGCAGTGGGAAGTTACTATTGTGTAACATCCTTTCTGCTGTATGGTGATTCTAGTTTCCTACCACTTTGCTGTATTTGAACTATTGTGAAGCTGTCATTCTTCTGTATATGTTCCCTTTTGTTGTAATGTTTAACCTATAAGACCACTTCTACCTCTTCCTGTTCATTAACGTTAATTGCCTCCATCACAGTAGAAGATTTAGATAGGAGCGTATATATTCTTCCACTTGGCCATAAAGCATACATTCTGATAATACAGAATATACTTTTTAAAGAACAGAAAACCCCTATGATTGAAATGAAAACATTAAATTAAAAGTTTTTCATCAATAACTCTTTGGAGCACACCTCTCTCCCCCAAATACACTCCTATATCTTGTTATGGAGAATCATTATTAGACTTTTGGAGGGATGGTAACATGTAGTAGAATTTGGAGCTTACGTCCCAGGCTTTGATTTTGCAGGCTGACATATCACTGATAGAAGAAGCCTCGTGGAGTCTTTGTTTTAGGGAAAGATTGTCTACACAGTAACTCCAGATTTTCTCATCTTTCCACTGCAGTCTCCCTGGGCCCTGTTTGCCATCTCCCAGGCAAAGGAAGTACAAATGACCCATTGTCTCTAGGATACATTGGCAATATGACCAGGCCCCAGACAAACCCTTTATGTCCTTGATGAAAAGGCTTTGTTATTTTCTAGTAATTGTGTGCTCCTACCAATGTGTGGGAGGGACCTGCAGGGCAGGGACTCCAGACTCCCTTCCAGTCTCAGCACAGAAGTCTAGGATTACTCCTACCCAGCCTTCCCTCCTTGCCCTGAAGGCCCTCTCCTTCCTAGCTTTCCTTCATTGTCTTCCTCCACCCCACCCCCCAGGTGCTTTTCTTCACAGCCTTCCTTTCTTGCCCCCTGAGGGCCTCTCACTTCTTTATGTGTATCCTGAACTGACAGTGGGATTGCTAAGTGTTAAGGAGTAGTTTGAATGGGTGAGAGACACCAGTGAGAGGTAAAAACCGGAAACCACAGGGTAAAAAAATACTTAGAATTCCTAACTATAAGTTTGGTTATCCAAATTATAGATTCTTGAAAGTCAGTAAGAAAGATCCAGTAGAAAAATGGATGGTGATGTGAACAAACATTTCACAGAAGAGAAATGGCTCATAAACATGAGATACTCAACTTTTTTGACAATCAGCAAAGTACAGATCAAGACTATAGTGGGAGGTGCACTTGCATACACACAAGTGTTGATAGGAGTGTAGATCAGAGGGAGCATTTGAATGCTGTTGATTTGTCTTTTGTGGTGAGCATTCACATACACTCAGATTCAGCATCTAGGAAAGCACAGCCCTAAGGACCACAGCACAGGTTGCTTGTTACCTAGGTGCCCAGGCACAGTGATTGGGAATACCCATTCTAGAACGGTAATTCTTAGAAATGAAAACACTACATTGAAATCAATAGGGTTGTGAAATCAGTTCAGTGAGTCTTATCAGCTAAATGGAAGAACTCCATTTATAAAAAGTGTTATTTTGACATTTTGTTTGCTGTTTATACGTGTTTTTCTGTATTAGCACATTTATGTATACTGATAGTGTGATGAAATGTAATTGTTCTTAGTAGTTGTCAGAACAGCTTGGAAGCCATTGCCCCAGAAAAATTCCATACATATCTATTGAGAATCATATAAAAATTATTACAGCACCATTGTTTCATAGCAAAAACTTGAAAACTCTACCACCCATCAATAAGAGATGGATTTAAGTTTTCTAGTCACATAATGGACTATTATAATGAAATTAATGAATAGTTGCTATAGGAAACTACGTAGTGGATTCATAGAAATTATTACCGAGTGGTAGAATCAAATTAAAGAACACCATAGTTCATTTTACAAAGATTAAAAATGAGCAAACCCAAATCATGTATATGATAAAACTTTTTTAAATGGAAAGACAGTACTAAAAGTCAGGATAGTTGTTACCTTTCTTTAGCAGAGAGTCAGGGAGCTGCTGTAGAAATAGCACACAGCTATTTTGTTGTACTTTATAATAAGTGTCACTAGTTAAATAAAAATTAAACCACAGAATAAGTTTTCTGAATGGATAGAGAAGTTGTGGTGTATTCACACAATGGAATACTATGCAGCATTGGAAAAGCAAGGAACTCATATGCAATATTATACAAAATGGTTGGCCCTGAAGACATTATGCTGAGTGAAATATCTTAGTCACAAAAGGACAAATACTGCATAATGCCTTTGTTATAAAACATGACTGACTTTGGGGTTGGGGAGAAACTAAGAAGAAGTAGGGATAAATGGTGAACATTGCATTGAAACAGATGAGGGAGAGAACTGTTTAAAAGGAATATATGATTAGGTATTATTTGCATGACGAGTCCGGAATAAGAGCTGCATAGTAAAGTGGACTGGGAGGGGGATTATATAATGAAAGAATTTTTTTCTTTTTTCGAAGAGAAGAGCGAACTTAGGGAGGTTTAGTCAGGGAGGGAAATGAGTAACAATGAATGAATGGGGGGCGGGGACCTAAAAAAAGAAGTGGATTTTCTCTTTAAGAAATAGTATTCTATCTCCTGAATTGTTCTATTATTTCCAAGTTGAATCTGAGCCTGAATACTGTTTTCCCAATAAACTCTGTATGTTGATTCTGACTAAAAACAACCTTGTGTCCAACAGAATAGAGCCTCAGTCAAACTCCACAACTAGGGTGAGATGAGGAGCAGGGGAGAAATGAACTTTAAGTATGGCAGGACTGAAGATGGGAGCTATAAGCAGGTTAGATAGGACCAAAGTAACTGGACAGTGAATATGGATGAAAGAAGAATTGATGCCTTTGAACTGTGGTATTGGAAATACTGAATATCCCATTGACTACCACAAGAACAAACCAATAGGTCTTGGAGAAGGTACAACCAAAGTGCTCCTTGGAGGCAAAAGTGATAAAGCTTCGTCACCTACTTTATGCATGTTGCTAGGAGAGGATGTTCATTGGAGAGGGATGGCAAAAGAGAGAAAGACCCTCCACCAAATGAACTGACGCAGTGACTGCAGCGATGGGCTCGAGCTATCAGATTGTGAGGATTGCACAGGATAGGACAGGGTTCAGATCTGTTATTCATAGCATCACTATGAGTTGTACTTGACTTAACAGCACCTAACTAAACAAGAACAGAGGAACTGATGGACTGATAGTCATAATGAGGTTATTCCAAAATAACCCCAGCTCACATTTACTGTATACTGAGAAAGGTTAAGATGAAGATAGAAGGTGTTCCCAAAGGCTCATTTCACAACAAGCTTTTATACTCCTCTGTTACCAGAAAGAGGTTTCTTGAAGACATTTAGGAATCATTTACTTGTTTGGTACTGTTTACTGACACCATCTCTGCCATTTTCCATGCTCTTAGTCTCTAGAGAGATGGTAAATATACTCCTCCCTCAAAGCAGTTCCCATTATTTGGGAAATAGGTGCAGCAACAGATACTTAGAAGACCATGAGATTTGTACACTGACAGAGAAATACGGGGGCAGTTAATGACTGGAGTAAAGGAAAGCAAAGATTATCCAGTGAACATTAGGATGATTCAGCTCGTGTCAAACTCAAACTCATTGTCTTCGGGTTGGAACTGACTCATAGTTGATCCTCCATAGGGTTTCCATGGCTGTAAATCACATGGGAGGGGAATGCTCATCTTTTTCCTGCAGGGTTGCTGGTGAGTTTAAACTGTCAGAGACTTAACTTTTGAGTTCTTTATGAAGCTCCCAGTGGACTGTGTCACTTAGAGCTTCCCCAAAACTTGTGTATAATGTATTATAGATTTTGATAAGGAAAATAATCATACATTCAAATGCCAAAAAAAGCATGTTGTAGAATTTTTAAACTTGATAAAAGATATGTATTAAAACTTACATCAAACATAATGTAGAATCTTTAGAAATCTTTATATTCAAGTCAAGAACAAAACCAAGAATGTTCTCATTTTAATTAAATGGGCACATGCACACAAGTAGATGTGTACCTATAAAACCTATAAAAATGTTCATTGCAGCATTGTTTAATAGTGAAAAATTATGATTCATCTAACTATACATAAAAAGAATGACTATAGTGTAGAACACAGAAAAATGAACTGGAGTTGGTTTTATTGTTAGATGTTCGATAAATCTCAATGGTAAATAAAAATTAAGATAGAGAGGATTGTCCTTAGACACACTTCCACGTTAGAACTGAATCCACAGTTGGGGATCACCTTGTAACCCAACAACAAAGGGATAAAATGCAGTAACACTTATGAGGAATATAGGCATCAGAACATTTAACCACAGGAAACCAAAAAGATATCATTTGTCCCAAAACAAAGCTCAGAAGACAGGAAGAAACAGGAAAGAAGTATGTGGAGGGGATTGCAACAAGCTTGAAACAAAACATGTATAAATCCTTGAATGGAAAACTTCATTTTCTCCTTAAACTGTAACCAAAACCACAATGAAACATTTTTAAGAGGTAGAATGATTAATTTGTCAGTATGATTGTGTGTATGTGAACCTTAAGCATGTAAAAACAGTACCATAGAAATGTTAATAAATAGAAAATACATGGGTATAAATGAGTATAAAAACATATAAGCATAATAAAGCAAAAATTTCAGGGGAGTGGTTACTTCTGTAGTATGAAGTGAGAGGCATATATTGAAATATTTTATTTTGTAAGTAGTAGAAATCTGTAGCAAGAATGACAGTTGTATGATTTGGTAAGAACTTGAATGGTAGGAATTTTTTTTTTTAAATAGGCAAAGTGAGCAGAGCTAGAGTATGAGAAAGAGTGGTGTCTAAAAAGTTTAAGCCCAAGATCAGTCCTATCAGGGTAGGTAGGAATTCTTGTTAGTCCTTTTTACAGTGAGAAAATAAAACTAAGAAAAGTTCCATGAATTACCTAAGGCTACATACCTGCAAATTTGCTGAGATTTGAACCTGAGTAGTCTAGCTGTTGAGCCTCATTTTTAGGGAATGCAAGCGCACACACCTTCAGTCTCTGAAGTGAACTGACTACAGGAATTGTTTGTGTTTTTCATAGGAAATGATCCGACTAGACGAAGTCCCCAACCTGAGTTCCTTAGTATCCAATTTCGATCAGCAGCAACTCGCTAATTTCTGCCGGATTCTGGCTGTCACAATTTCTGAGATGGATACAGGGAATGATGACAAACACACACTTCTTGCCAAAAATGCTCAGCAGAAGAAGAGCTTGAGTTTGGGGCCTTCTGCAGCCGAAATCAACCAAGGTAAATGTCCAGGTCCTCAGATTTTAAGATCGTAGCTCTTCCTGGAGTGTCTCCCTTTTTCCATCTCTAATGATTGATGGAGGACTCCTAAGGTCTACCTAGATATATGTACATGTTATATGTGTGCATCTGTGTTATCTTGGGAGGCCAAGTTCATAACTTTCATCAGATTCTTAGAGGAATTTAGACCTCAAAAAAACTAAGAGCCGCTGTTTATCAGAGTCACAAATGCTTTTGATCTCTTAAGCTCTTTATGGGACTTTATCCTGTAAATATAATTTCTTTGTAAAGCTATTCTGTCAATACTATTTATAACAGAAGATTGGAAATAAGTCAGGTAGTCAGTCATCAAAAGATTACTGAAATGATAGTTACATGATTTATAAATGATATAGCTTAAAAAAAAAGGAAGATTTCTGTGATCTGATACAAAGTTTTCCCAAAATATATAATAATAAAAAGGAAACTGTAGAATCTTTTTGTTTTGACAATTGGGATGGTGAGGAATAAGAACATTTACTTGTTTACTCATATGTATATTGTATATAAAAAGAACCTGAAAGGATATAAAAGAAACTTGAGTTCCTATAAGGGGCTGTCATATAGTATCAGCAGTGAGAGTATATGTTTTTATGTAGTTCAGTTTGGGAACTGTATAGATACATTAATGTATTAATAAGAGAAGTGATTTCTTTCACATGACCCCTCCCTGCCTGTTGCTTTTTTTTTTTGCCTGTTGCTTTTGGTAACAGTTGCATGCTGCTATTAAAGTATCCTTGGCCAAGCAGTCTCTGGGGAAATTAAACATACAGTTACATCTGCTTTTGGCTTTATGAGTATAAGTAATTAATACGGAACTAAAATATTTTCTATCTTAGTTCTTGAAAATTAATAGGCTAGAAATATGTTGATATGAAAACATGATATACTTAAGATTAACCAAGGTGAAATAATCAAGTATTGAAAAATAACTCTAGAAAACTGTGACCACCCAAGACAGTCCTGATGATGCCTTGGTAACGAGACTTTCTGAAGTTCAGCTGACTGGATGAGGATATGCCCAGAACTAACTCTGCCAGCTTGCCAAGTGCTTTAAGGCAGCCTCTCTTTATGTGGAATACAAGTATTCCATTAACTGTGATGACATTCTCATTTTAGTGAAGAACACAAACTGCTTATAAATAAACCTTTTAAGTTATTTTTTAATGTTACTTCGTATATTGCACCCATGAAAAACAAAACTATGCGTGTGGTTCAGCCTTGTTTTTCTTCTATGTCCTATAGCCACTCTCTGTCTTGATATGTGAATTTTTTATCATCCTTCTTCTCTTTTTTATGGTTTTTAAGGCGTTTTCATATAATAAATTTTATATATATATTATATTATTTTATTATTTTTGTGTGTTTGTACTGTCAAATCAGATCTGA